CGAGAGATTTATTCCTATCTATTCATACGATTGCGCGGAGTGGAATATAATTTTGTATTTTTTCAGTATATCACGTCATAACACAATATTTTGGAAATTTTTATTTCGTCTTACATTGAATTCGGAATCGTGAGAATTGAACTTACACAGTAATTCAGAGGCATTGCGTAGGAAGATCGGTAATAGCAGTATAATTTTATAAATGTTAATACTTTCTTAATAAGTTTTATCAGTGATCGTTTTGATAATAGTGCGACCGGAAATTATATCATAATAACGTTTAGACAACATTTAAAAAAATTTTAAACAAGGGAAAAGAATCTTGTAATTATTGAAGACGTTTTGCTTCGGACAACATAGTCGCTTCAGTCTCGCGTAATATCGTATCTTTCGAACTGGAGAGGCTGGCAAGTAAGAAAGACGAATAAAAGACAAGTAAAAGGAAGTCGATATCGTCAAATCATTTGATCTCTGAATCTCTGAATCTTTGTAGGACAACGATCGTCCTATCCGACCAATCTATTTCTAGAATAATTTATCAGAAGTTTCGTTATGAAAATTTCAACGATTTGCGTCGGACAGTCTGTATATATTTGTAATACCGCTTCTTATCGACAGGTTTAAGCTTTGAAGAGTACTTTCGACGCTTCGCGAATATCTCTTGCAAAAACTCGTAAGGAAGCAGCATTTTGTTCCTCGCGAGAGGAAACCGTGTCGGCGAGCGTTTTAACCGGAGACAAGCGTCTTCGAAGAAATGGTAGACTAGAGTGAGTGAGAAAAAGAGAGAAAAAGAGAGAAAGAGAGAAAGAGAAAGAGGTATAGAAGAGCGAATGGATTTGCTCGCCCTTTGCCGTCTGTAGAAAAAGTCGGCTCTGAAGACCTTGGGTCGGAAGAGGAATGCAAATCGAGACCGGTCACGAATATTCTAATGTGCAGTTAGTCCTTACACGACGATTGCGAGAGAATCGTCATTCGATTTCTTCCATTGGGCGCAATAGCTACAATTGCACCCGGGGCGCGTGTTTGTGCGTCCAGAATGCTCACGGCCCTCTATTAAATGCTTTGCGTGTCTCCGAATCAGGTTGGAATGTTGGAAATAACGATCTCGTTATGTACTTGTGTTTTTTTTTAATGTCATAAAAGAGAGAAGCAAACAGGATGCGTCCTTTACCGATTAACACAACGACTTCTCGATAAATGCGTTGATTAGGCCAAATATATGATCGGCTGAACAGAATCGTTATAAATCATTCAACTTCCTTGCTAAAAATGTTATCTTCTGTTATCGTCTGTATCTATCTTTTATCTTTTATGTTATCGTCTGTATTTATCTTTTATCGAAGCAGTTTTTTTTAATGCTTCGTTAATTATTTTTGCACCGTATAATTTAATATGTAAACATTCAAATAAAATTTTCTTAGCATTTTTGTTCCTAATAAAGATGTTTACGATATCTACATAATATATATTAGAATATTATGCACTTTTGCATGTGTCACGATGCTGGCAATGCTTTACGAAATGACGTTCCCGCGACAAGGTTGCTCATGAGAGCGTGAGATTTAGAGATGTGGAAATAGAGTCGAGAAGGGAAAAATGTCCGTCAGCGGTTGCACGATCAAACCCTGGGATAACCCCGGAGAAAATGCTGCTAGGCCGTGAAAGAAGGGACGGAGATGGATGCGAGCGGACATGATGATAATAAAGTTCACGTAAGAAATACGCGATACGTAGAAGAAGGGCTTAGGAAAGTAGAAGTTTCCAAGGAGAGGATTTCGCTTTACGATCACAAGAACGGACCCCGAGTCCTCTCGTTTCCGCTCATTTCTTCTTCGATTTTGTTCCGTCGGTTATACCGAGAATTCTCGCGATCCGATATCTTACAGTCCCTTTTTTTGTACGGCCGTTCTTGCCTATTTTTCTACTAGATTTATGCCTCGTTTACGCAGAGATCGTAACGCGAGCGGACTTAAATAAGCGGAAAGGTAAAATTAGAAGAGTCTAATGACTATCGATTATCATACTTCGAAGAATCTCGAGATTGAAGGTTGTTTGAACAACCTGCCACTATAATCAATCAAAGCATACAACCTATCGATAATCAAATTTTAGTTAATCAATTTTTTAATCAAATTGACCAGATTTAATGGTTTCAGATTTGCGTATCTGATCGTTTTTAAAATATCCGAAGTATCACGTAACGTATGAGCGGTATCCTTTGAACGTTTGACACGGAGCAAGTCTGAGACGAGTGGTCGGTTACGTGTAATTTGTACAGGATCTTTTCTCCACAGAGGTGAGAGAAGTCTGTTCGCAGTCAAGGCTCCCTCTTCGAAGTCATTGACATTGGCGGTCGACACGAAGAGACTGATGCTGCCTATTATATCGAACAATTAATGAAACAACGACACTCTCATTGTACAGTCATCATTTGCAAACATGTGACTCACCGCCGTTCTTTCTACATTCGACTTGCATTATCTCCATGAATTTGGAAAAGATTTTAAAGAAATTTCTAAGTGATTACTAAGCGACTATGTTAGAGAAATTTAAATATAGATTTATTATTATTTGTATACATGGTGGAATTAGATGTTGTATTTCCGAAGATGTGCGCATACACACACTTACAATAGCAAAATAATGGCATTCCCTAAATATTAGCTGACATTATATATTTTACATTGTAAAAAAATGAAAGTTGTGCATTGCGATCGATTTACACTGGTTATAAAGTGTTATGCTGTAAACTATAAGAAATTGATCAATCACAATCAAATGTAAGGAGAATAGACTCGATCATTCTCCTCACGTTCAACTGTGAATGTCAATTTCTTATAGCTTATAGCATAAGTTAACAGTTTACTGCAGCCAGTATAAATGATCCTTAATTCCATGATTTGTATATCGCATAAATATTTGATTTATTATTATCCGTACACAGCGTTGAGATAACGATTGCTATCTTTCCTATCGGAGAATGATTGCCACTATTAAAACTGTTATCGTCTTATAGTGCATTCTCTCATGAAATTTTTTCTGTCAGAGAGCCGGAAATTCGTTCAAAAAGCCGGAATCTCTGGTCGAAATCAAAAGAGATGATAACCGTAGTCGAGACTAGCGGATCATAACTTGTTCCTCATAATCTCGTCTTAATTTTAGTAAAAGATCTGATAACATGTTTCCTGAGTTTAAATTTAGAACAGGGGAACTTCAAATCTTATCTCGGGTCTCTAGATAGGACGGAGACCATTCGCGGACGCGATGCTCCTGCCCGTCAGATGTTGAATGTTAATGGCATTACCTGACGAAGCGTTGCGCTTCTCCGCGCGATTTCGTTTCGGTGAGCGTTCTGAAACGCGCGCGGCGCGACCGCTTTTTTGGCGTTGCATGCACATGATGAGATCTATTATCTCGAATGACTGTCCTCTTTCGCTGTCAGCTTCTGCGAACGTGGCGCGCCGGTGAACGTCCTCTCTCTTTCTCTTGGTGGGACACCATCAAGTGTGTACACCATACAGAATATGGACGGCAGTCGCTCTCGTCATGTGTTTTCATGTTTAAATTGAGTTAATATAAATAAACAATCCTTGCACTGCTGTTAATAGCGACTAAAAATATGTTAAAAAATTTTTAAGTCGATTCCTCAATGTCCCTTCACGAAACTTGAGTGAAATGGATTCTTGGCTCTTTTTTTCTCCTTGGAGTTTCCTTTTTTAAAAATACTTAGAACAAAATATACATATTTTTTTTTAATGTTTAACCACAATTCTGATATTTCAAAAATATTTTTTAATTTAAGAAAGCCCTAGATATAAAACCGAGTATAAAACACATATAGATTCTATTATTGGGTTGTCCGGAAAGTTCATGCCGATTTTGAAGGAAAATTGAAACGCAGAAGATTTAAATTTTTAATTTCATTTATTAAATTTAAATCTTTTGCGGCACGAACTTTCCGGACATCCCAATATATTAATTTTTCTTTTATATTAAGATAATTTTAAATAAAATGTTTTATGAAATGTACATTTAAGTAATGACTTTAACAAAATATTTCGTCTGCAATGAATCAATGGCCCTCCCTCTCTTAACAAATTTCTGAATCCAATAGAGTTAAATGTGTTACAAGTATTCGCAATGTTACTTCACTATCTACTCACTATCTACTTATGACGTCGAGATATCAATGCGGAATAATACATCAAGAGACGACATCAAAACGACAGCCATAATTCAAGCGATTGTCACCTGCCATGCCTCACTATTAGCTATGCGCGACACGAAGGCGTCACTTCCTCTGACTCGATTTCCGGCCACCGGAAATGTCCTTCTAACTGCGGCTGAATCCTTAAATGAAAATGATCTTTCACAAGATCCCCTCCGCTTTTCATCATCACGATCATAGATCGTAAACGACATATCAAAACGAATCATCATCATTGCGTAATCCATTGCAATACATTTATTTATGCACTTAACATGTTTGAAGGGAATACTTTTTAGCAAACGTTAGGAAATTACCGGACATATGTATATATTTTATGTCGCGAATCTGAGAAAGCATCTTAAGGAATTGGTTAATAAATAATGCTTGCAGATTACTTCTCTCTGAGAGACGCATAAATATTTCTGATATTCTCGTTCAGCGAAAACGTTCGAAGATATTAAGATTACCTCATTATGGAATCGTTTGAAATCCATACATTTTCCATCCATGTTGAAACGAAGCCATAAAAAATAAGTAGGAAATATATGTCACATCGAAAAGAGCTAGCTTGGAATTTCCAATCTCGCGAGATAATTGATGACGTGGTACGTTATATGTGAGCAACAGCGAATGCGATTTTTAACAATTTCAGCGTTTTAACGATCGCGATGTTCGTGATCGTAGCATTCTGTAAAGTGTCCGGTTAGAACCGGTGTCCGGTTTCTTTTATACTAGAATCGATTCTTCTTGTTGTCTGTTTTTAAATCTGTACGATATGCTTTTGCTGCAGCAATCGATACGGTTTGACGAACGAGGACCTGAATCGACGCTGGAGTAATCCCAATCGAATGTATCATCCGGTGATCTATCACACGAAAGGCCTGATGGAATACTGCGCCAGGGTGCTGCAGAGACCGCCCCACGTTTTCGTCGACTATCACGGCCATTCGCGGAGGAAGAACGTGTTTCTGTTCGGTTGTTCAAGGTCGGGTTCCTGGAGCGCCGCGGACAGGGCGAAACCGGACCAGTCGGTGCAGTATTTGGTAAGGGAATCAACAGAAGGGAATCGAGGCTAGGTAATATTTTTAGATCTCGCATGGCATCATTTATCCTACATTTACCTGCCACCGGGCCAGCCCGGCGAACGTTCATCACTTTCAACGACCTTCTATTCAATGTGAACTTTCGATTTGCACGAGCAATTACTCGCCGACAGCCGCCTATTCATTTCGCGCGTTGCTCTGCCACATTAATGTCATTAGTTAGAGCATTACTGAGAAAGTGCTCCGAGAAAGTATTTCTCTTCTTGAACTACGAAATCTTGATTCTCGTTAGAACCTCCAAATGCGATTTCGTAATCTTTGTGACTCTCTTTATGTTTTAGATGTTACCGCATCTCATGCAGAGGACATCATCAGCTTTCGCTTTGCCACTTTGCTCCTTCAAGGTTGAAAGAAACAAGGAATCCACCGCCAGGGTCGCTGTATGGAGGCAGTTGGGTGTTCCGAGGTAAACGACGGCTATATCCTGAGCAGATTGAGATCTAGCTCGCAAGAGAGATTTTGTGTAGCAAGGTTGAGGTTACATGTGTCTTGTAAAAAAAAAATCTGTTTTTTAATAACTTAAATTATACAATTTATATTTTATATTATATATTAATATTAACATTAACTTGGTGAAACGTTTCCTTTTGTATTTACATTTATAAAAGTCAATATTACTGATATTGCGACGTTGTGATTGAAAAAAATGTCACTATGTTTCGTTTAATGTTTTATTCAAACAGAAGTTACACGATGGAAAGCAGTTTTTGTGGATGCGATCAAGGCGTATTGGCGGGATTACATCTCGACACAGAGCATCTCAAAGCCATTGGAAGAGATTTCTGCCAAGCTTTATCGATGATGAAGGATGGCGGTAGTGATTGGGCTATCGGAAAGTACGTGCAAATTTTTTGTTATTAATTCATTTTTACGGTATAAATCGACTTAAATATAAATTTGTTGAAATATTTGATTAAGAACATTTATATATTAAAAAAGAAAACTTGCAAAATATTTAGAAGGAAATATACTTCCAGGGACTGTATTTAATCGGCAAAATTATTTTCTAAGATCGTTTTTGAAAAGAATAATTTTTCTAAGTTTTAACTTTCTACAGGCTAGAATAAAAGGTTTTACAGATTATGATATATTATTTAATATATAGATCAACAGAGCAAGCCTGTTGTCCGAGAATGTGTATTTTACGAAAGTCACGGAAAATACCGAAATGTATTCAAGATAAACATGCTATACATCATACCACAGCGTTTTCTTAGCAAATGAGATAAATAAACAGTTGTATTATAAGGCAAGATTTGTGTGTAACTATTCGTGTGTGCGCATTGTTAATTTAATGCTTTCGCTATAAATTGTTCTATCAACATATGATGTCTTTTCCCTCGTTATCAATCAAACTAACAATGTTTCTGTAAACTAACGATAATAACTAATAAGTGAAAAGAGCTGTCATTTAATTTATACATCCATTACTCTTGAAGTTAATCGATAGTTCGCTTATTATTCAATATGTTTCTTGTTAATTGTGCCTGTTACTCTTTTTAGAATTCCTATGGAGAAAGATATTCCCATGAAATCAGGATGCATGGACGACGACATATCTTCTAGTAGTGAATCCAATGATTCTGATTTTGAGACTTAAGGAACTGCACCTCAGTCAAATATTAGAACAGCTATTTTTAACAACCAAATTTATTACAAATATTTACTCTTGTGCACTTATAAATTTAAAATTTAATACAAAAATTATTTCTATTCTGAATAAATATTTATTATAGTATAGTACAAAATAATATTTCACGAAAAGAAATATTTCACAAACAATATTTATTTAAAACTCGTAACAAACATTTAAAGCTATTCTCTATGAAAATACTATCTACATATCGTAAAGTCTATTTGTACATATCTTGGACATCAATATTTCGTAAATTATGTTCCATAGTAAACAAGATTATGTTTGTTATATATTATTTAATACGGATTTAAATATGGCCACTTATGATTATTCAATTAAATAAAATTCTTCTTCGAAATAAAATTCTTGTGAAAGTTGAAATTATATTATAAAATCATCATCTAAGATCTAAATAGTAATAAAACAATGACCTCTAGAAAGCTTTACATTTTTGGGAAATTTGAATTGTCTCTTGAAAGGCAAAACAGATTTAGATAATATCAAAAATAAATAGGGAACTGTATCATTCCCTGACACGGTACCTCGCTCTATACTTTGTACACATAATTGTATAAATATAGAAAATAAATGTTAATGAATTGTAATTCCTTGTAAATTTATAAGATCTCCCTAAGACTTCCTGAAGCAATTATTTGTATTCCACGGATTAAGTTTTCGACGAGATTTTTACATGCGTATCGATATAACGCTAATTGTAAATTTTGTAATTTTCGGCTATTATTACGTTGCGCTTTTAATATAGGCATTTCTAGTATAATATACAAGCCGTGACATGTACTTCACAATAATCCGAACGATAATTAATAAAGAAAAATTTAGAAAATTAATAAGATGATTTATAATAATGTACGGATCAATACATAAGGTGTTGAATGATGTCAGAATAAATGATTATTTATATTACATAATACTGCAATATTGTAATAATTAAATATAGATATAACATCGCAATGTTTAATACTAATATATTAATATTAGACTTTAAATTCTGATAAGAAACAATTTACATCTGATATTTTATATAATTTTATACTGCAGAATTTATGAGGATGTTGTCAAATAGCACATAGCGTTTACAAAGTTTAAAAAGCATTTATATATTTTTTTAGCACTTTGCAAGTGCTGTTACTTGTTGCTTGTATTACTATTTAACGGAATTATTTCTTTATTACCGCAAACAAATTTTTAGAAAAATGTAATTCTTGATAGAAACATGTTGTATCCAATTAAGTATAATCAGTCATATACTTAATTGTGCGTATACTCATATATATTATTTTAAGACCAAATAGTTTTTGTCATCGAAATTCGACGATACAGATATATTGTGCGAATTATCTCAATTAATATCTCAAATTACATTAATATCTCAAATTACATCATCATTCTATGAGAGTTGACAATTATTGTATTTCATTATAAATAACAAATATTTCTACAATATATAATTTTTTCTATAAAGAGGTTCTTTAAATGTTCCTCGCAAATTATAAAACTAAATTATTCGTACACTGAGAAAAAAATTATTCATTAAATTAAATTAATTTGTATTTAATTTGTATTTAAGTCAGACATATATTATATTTTACTTAAATACATACATTCAACAAAAGAAATAAAGATAATTAAATTGATTTTTTTCTTAGTATATGGCAATATAGTTTAAAAAATCGTTGATTGACGATTTTTTAAACTATATAAATTGTGCTCTGTAGTATAAATTGTAGACTGAATCGAGATTATATTGTATGCAAAAATTACACGCTACGTTCACGAATGATCAGTTAATTAGAGTTAAAAAGAAGATTCGTTATTTTATAATCACAGTTTTTCAAGAGACTAAAGAGAGATTTAAGTAAAAACATCGGAATGAATTTCGATAACATTATTGTCTGTTTGGCGCATTAACAATTTACGTAATCATTGTATAATCCATCTTAAAATAGCCTAACGTCTTATTATAAATATATAAAGCTTTCTGATGAAATTCAAATTTGTTTTATACAAATTGTTAAAAAAGCCTTATTATTCTTAATTGTTTGGCGTAATGTTGCACATGTATATAAAAACTAAAGCAACTAAAATACTAAATGAGATTGTGTGTAACTCCTATTACTATTATTTATACTATTTTCATCGGTGCAAATAATTTTTGTTGATTCACGATTAATTTCCTATTGTTGAATGATTCGACGATAAACACCGTGTGCGCACACTTGCATTTAGGAAAACAGACAATAGAAAAAAAGCAGTAATAAGAGGATATTCATTATCATCGGCTGAAATTACATCTTGAAATATCAAGCTTTCGGTCTACCTACGTTTGATTTATACGTTTATCTAAACGCTAATATTCTACGGAAGTAGAATTTCGATAAAGTAACACAAGAAATGGATTATATCGATCTCCGCGCCGGTTCGGCAGAATAATCGAGTTTGATAAGTAACTTAGTACTTTACTCGATGCCATATAGTTTCTTCATGTGCAACTTCATCTGCTCATAGGTTACCCACAATACGATGTTCCAGGATACCAGGCGCGAGAAACTTGGCACGAAACCTTTATAGAACGCGGTGGGACCTTCCTGGACAAAGGTCTTAATAGCGCAGTCTATCGCGCCCTTATACTCGCCAGCGGCGCTGTTCATATAACGTGTCTTCACGACGTCCACGGGACTTGCCGCCAGGGTGGTACAGAGTCCTGCGGCCGTCGCGGCGGTCAAATGACACGGTATCCCATCACGAAGATAACCGCTAACCAGAATGAGGTCCTTGATGATGTCGTAACAGACTATCTCCGCCACGTTCACAATAGCATTCCGCGAGACATTCGGCATGGTTCCTATGTGTGACGAAATAGAGGATTACTTTCCATGATATTAAAAAAATGTCTTATATACTGTTTGTGCAATCTTTAAAAAATTCTACAAATAATACAAGAAGTTTCTAAAATTAAAAATATTTTTATAGGAAGACTCACCTTTCCAAAGACCTTTCGCGCCTTCTCCACTAGCGATACTCTTGTATGCCTGCAGAGTGGAGCTATATCTTACCGATGATCGTCCATTATTCCCAGCCTGCATGCGGATTTTAACGACATCGGTCGGTTGAGCGATCATCACTGCCAAAGCACCTGTCGTGATTCCCGCGGCAACACGTACGCCAATGTTCATCGATGTACCGATCTTATTGTTGTTACCTGTTGAAATAAAAACGCTCGATGAAGAACTAGTCTCTGACAGATAATTTAAGAATTAAGAAGCGATATAAAATCGACGCAAATTGTGCCTACTCTCATTTAATTGTGTTACCTCTCATTTAATGTTTATTATTACGATCGGTTTTAATATCTTTATATAATATTCGTAAACGTTAGTAAACTTTTCACAATCAGCTTGACATTAATAATGAATAATAAATTATTATATGTAGAGGACCGATGTTGTACCGCGATCTCAAAAGTAAAAATTAACTTGTCGATTATATCAAGATAATGAAATTAAATCTTCTGTAAACATTGAAAAAGAGTACAATTTCGAAATTTTATTTTAAATTTGAGATTATATTTGCGTATAAATTTATCATGTCTTATTTTTTCAAAGAAAGTAAATAAGCCGTAGCACAGGATGTATATAGAAGCAAATTTTTTGTTTATTTAATAAAAGTCTTATTTTAACAGAATTATTAATATTCTGGATATGTTCAGCAACAAAATAAACTTAATAGTTACAATAGATTATTATTTTAGATTAACATAAATTATATAATTTACATTTAAATCATCGATAAATGTAAAAATTCAGAATTGAATGCTACTTAAAATTAGCAAAAAAAGCATTTTGGAATATGTATTATATTGCACATACAAACGAACTATAAATAATCCATTTAATTCTGCAAATTAATTTTTACACACATTTTTGAGAACTTTTAAAAAAAAAAATGTAAAATTCACGAACATAATGATACCGAAAAATCAGAAAAGTAATCATAGCGATTGACTCGCAAGACTATACAAATATATCTGATTGAGCAAAATTTTAGAAAAGTCTCAGCAATACATCAAAGATGAATTATTGTACATCCAAGCAAATATATTTGTAGCAAATGTATTTAAAAAAACTTTGTAAAAAGAAAACAATTTGAATGCCGTATTTTAAGGAATGAAAACTTCTTTGCAAATGTAAATGAAGTAAAATGCATAAATATGTAATAGTCTCACGATTATTCAATGCAGTAAGAATTACAAAAGATGTTCAAATCCTCGCCTTTGTTGTACATTCAATCTTTTAGTTCTCCCATTTCCATTTTCTGACTCTATACTTAATTTTCTTTTTTTCTTCCCTTTTTTCTTCCTTTCTCAATTTCAAAAACGACAGAAATGAGAACGAGGAACGTATCAAGACAATCTTAGAAGATTTGCGCATAAAGTTTACGAGAGTTTTCATCGTGATAAAGCGAATGTCGATATGAATATGCGTGTCTATGTATATAATGTTAGACATTCAATATTAGACTTTTTTTATTAACAGTTCTTGACTATTTTTTTAATATTTATATTTTCCAATGTTAAAATTATTAAGATCGGTAAGAATTTAATCGTCAAAGAATATTTATGAATATATAAAAATATATTTCAAATATAATTTTACAATTATAATTCATTAAATATTGTCTAATATCGATATGTTTGCATGTTACGTGTGTTATAAATATGACAAAACGTTTTACTATACATAAGATATATGAATGTATATTATATACGCGTTTAAGAAATTGTTGAAATTGTAACGCGCGCTCTACTCTCGTATATATCATAGAAGATATATTTATATCAAAAGTTAGGAGTTTTGGTTGGCTGTACCGTCGAAGATTCCAGCGTAGAGTGACTTCACGCTGTCGTAGAGGCCCAATCGTATGCTGGCGAAACACATCTGTCTCTGGAGTCCCGCGGATAGACCTCCGTACAGGCTCCTGTAACCACCCTCGCTCAAGCACACCGCCCTCACAATTTACCCTCAAACTCGTTTCCAGGGTACCGTTTGTACATATTTCTCTCTCTCTCTCTTTCTCTTTCTCTCTCTATATCTCAATGGTTTTTAAAAAAATATTATTCGCTTTTTTTTACGCAAATATTGCGTAATTTTTCCTTTTTTTTCTCTTCGCCTTTTTCCTATTCGCGCGATTTTGCACCTCATTTTTTTTCTATAATATAGATATCCTACATATTGAATGCTTTAAAGCGAAATTCAATATTACTCGTTAATGAAGTGATTTACAGTTCGAAGACGCGCAAAAGAAAAATAATTCGAGAGCTGAGAAATAACCAAGAGAGAGCGTGCATTATTTGTCACGTTGACCACGCATTTTAATGTTGTATCATATTCAAAAATAGAGAAGAAGACACCGGTGATTGGGAAAGTAGATCATTACTATAGATATAAATATACAGGCAAAGTAAATGAAATAAAATCAAAAAGAGAAAGTGAGAAAGAAAAGAGAGAAACTACATGAAAACTTAAGAGAAATATATCGCGAAGAGATGTGTAAGAAGGAAGCAAGTTGTCTTTCGAAATTTTATAACTTTATTGGAGAAATGACTATCAGAAGATATAGAAAGAAATTTCGTGACGTACGGCGCGTTTATGCGCCGTACAAAAAAGTTTACGCGAAGCATCACGTATCCACGTTTCTATATATCAATTATCACGAATTCTTTTTATTGTACAAATTAATTGAAAATTTATAAATACTTTGTACAAAAGAAACGAAATAGAACAGTTTGGTTAATTTTTCGAATAATGGAAAAAGAGACGCGAAAGACAACCCATGCAAAATAAAAGTAAAAGAATAATCCATAAAAATAATAAAACGTAAGAAGAATTGATACAAGAAATACCATCGACAAGTCTTATTAAATTTGTATTTGTTTCGTTTTATATATTTCGACTTTCATCGAATAAAAATGTGTAATTTTTGGAAAGTAATTACATTCCTTTATCTATTTTGCTTATGCAAAAATTGTTTTACGTGAGTGAACACTTGTCCATGGCATCTGACTAGAAGATGAAATAAAAATCATATTTATGCGGAGATTAATCATAAGAGTCTAGAAAATTTTCTAGAACAAGCAATTATTGTACATACATGTGCCAGATATCAAACAAAATTTTAATGAAAACACGATAAGCCGTAAATATTTTCTCGCCGATTCTTTCTTTACTGACAATACATGAAAAACAATTAAGTTAATTAGTATATATTGCTTTTTTTAAATAAGGCTTTTCTATGTGATATAAATATAAATATCTACTATAAACCATTAAAGTATCAAAATAAATATAAATAAGTATTTTTTATATTTTAGCTGAACACATAATTTGTGATTACTTACATACAAAAATTTTTAAGTTATACATTTAATAAATTCTGAATTAATTTAAAAAAAAAACGGAGTTTTTTTATATTCAGTATATTTATATGTGTAATTTAATTAATAAACGACGAAAAAATTAATTAGCTTAATCTGGCACACGCCAAAATAAGAAATCTGGTTAATAAGTTTGTTTATTATGAAAAAAGTACCGCATGTTATTATTTCAGAGAGAGCGACAGTTGAATATAAAATAGTTATTATATCAACAAGCGATTGCTCTATAAATATTTTCTATAAGCTTTAAATTGAATTATCATTCTTAGGTAAGGAAGTCCTACATTTACAGATTCCGTATATATTACAATATTATGTACAAATATTAATAGCCCAAATAAAGTTGTTCTACCTACCATCAGTTCTTAAATTACTATTATGATAACGAACAACGTACCTTGCGCCTTCGTATCTGACAATGTTTGCAACAGTCTGGAACAATCCTGGTTGGCTCGTTCTTACTGCAAGGACTGATCCTTCCGTTGATGTCAGCAACAGGGCTTGGCCTTCTCCTGCGATCTTGAAGAAATAATTCGATTTCTTTCGGTGAATAAAAAGACGCAACGAGATAACATGCGATTATTTCGAAGGATATAATTCAAATATAATTATTATTACTTAACTCACCTGCATTCTGACTTTGGCGGTGTCCAAAGGAAAGGTGGCTAAATCGGCGATGCAGGCTGCGGTGCCCGCGGTAAATAATTTCACGCCAAGTGAAAAGTCATCTGAGATTCCTTGCTTCATGATTTCCGCTGTTTGGTCACTCTTTTTCTTTTCCAAGATCTTTTTCTCTCTTATTACTGCTGATGCGTGCTGTTAAAAGTGAGCGTGGATGCTTCGTGAAGGATTCTTGCCTAGTGCAGGATTCTTGGATAAATTGGCTAATTTCTTCCAGCGTGACAGTAATTTCTCCCTTGAACTCGCTCGTTTCCTTTCAGCGGGATTTCTTTTTATTAGGCAAATGATCTTATGTACACTATATACAAAGTCCTATCAGAGGACAGGAACTTTCAGATGTTCATGGATTCAATTGGTGTTCTTAAAGGTACGTTTCCCTAAAGTGATCGGGATACGCGTGGAGCCCTCCCGATCGTGAGCACTCGTGTTTGATTTCTTGATGGTGAACTTCTTTATACATACTATTCTCCTGTGAACAAACGATGCAAAAGAACACTGTACAATATTCTGATACAAAAAACAATCCGCTCGATGCGAATGTGATCGTGAACTGTCGCCGCTAAACTGACAGCTGCTGCTTTTATTCCACGAGAGAGTGAGTACTATATATAGTGCGATTCTAATTCTATAAAATAAAGCGGTGTACTCCGATTCTATAACTTTTTAACGGCAGTGTCGTTATATTGTAATTACGAAGATATTATATATCTTATACAGTATAGTAAAAAAGCTGTATTAATGATAACATATCGAATTATCATTAAGAGTTATAGAATTGAGATACACCCGATAAGCGTAAAAGTATATCGCATCGCGACTGAAGGTAGCATATTCAATTGCGCATGCATCAAAGATCAACGGTCATTGAACAAGGCGATTTGTCTCGAGATTATTAATCAGCGTCAAAAATCAACTCTTATGTGAATATATCGTATTATCATCTTGAACTACGCACACGCGGCGAAATCCTAGAATGTCTGGATAAGGGCTATCGAGCCATTGTAATGAAATATATTGTAATATCGTTAATCGCTCATCACGATTGATAACTGGCAAGATCCGTCTCCAGCGTTTTTATCACTTGACACGTGTCTCTTAATTACGACAACGGGTTTCCCACGATCGTGGCATAGAAGTAATGTAGAAGCGTAGAATGTATTCTCGTTTCTGCCCCCCGGAAGAGTCTTGGCCGGGTACCGAAATAGACTGTCGTAGATGAGGAGAGAACTTTGATCAGCTTGGAGACTTGCCAATATCGAGGAGAGAAGCTTAGAGATCGACGTCTTTATTTGCGATTATAATAATTAATCAACTCGACGTTTAAATAATATATGTATATTTTTTTATATGAGTATGTTTTATCATATATTTGTACGGCTTTGGTATCGTTTGTGCTTGGATAGGATGTTATACATAAGAAACCGCAAAAATAATTGGAGTCGCATTGCTAGCAATCGTATGTTTATATTTTGTGTCGTCTAGACATGTTGAAATATAAATAAGTAGATTAAATAAATGATAGAGGGTTTAAAGAATGAAGCATGATGAAGCATGATCAACAGACTTTGTCCGATTATTTTACTACTTTGTAGAATAATGTTTATTGAATATCAATTGCAACTAATTGATCTGTTATTGAATTTAAACGAACAATTATGCGGTGAAATCAATGCATCGTATGTAATTATTCACTCAATATGAGGAAACCGTTGTTGCGTCAGCAAACTTCAAGTCTCCACATTTTTTAAAATATAAATTCAAAAGAGAAGCAGAGAGAGAGAGAGAGAGAGAGAGAGAGAGAGAGAGAGAGAGAGCATTATTTGATGTGATCTAGAATTATATTCTTTCTTTGGCTTTAAATGAGTTATATGAGGACTTGATTGGTTAAGCTAGCTGATTACGTAATAGACTGAAAGTTCCAGTACATAGTCCAACAATCATCAAATGCGCTCGTGCATTCTGAAATTTGTTAATAGAAACTGTGAGACAGAACAAACGTCATCATTCTCGTAAAGAACACAGTGCAAAGTCCACGCGAATTATTTTTCACTGCATGACGAATTAAGATACTGCATTAGTGCCGTGCCTCCGCAACGTCACATGCATTTATCATTGCGAGTGATGGCAGAGTTTTATTTTCAAACTGTCATTGAACTTTATGTTTTTAGATGTAATGTGGAAAATTTAAATTTGCTGACTAGAAGTTACTTGATAAATTATTTCATTTATTTTTTATATCATATATAATTTTTATATAATTTTAATTTTGTAATAATTTTGTTACTGTAATGTAAATTAAATTAAATCAGATTCTTTTTTGCAATTGTATATAAACAATTAATTATTTGCTCGTTGCTATCTTTTTAAAGAAATCAAGATAGCCTTCAAAAAATGCAGAACTTTTGTGGTATTCTTGCGAGAATACATCGATGTGAAATGAAAGGTTTGTATTGATTTTCCTTATCGTGTTGATAAAAAAGCATGGAATATGTACATATGAAAAGAATTGTGACATATTGTCAGCACTGTTCTCCAACGCACAATTTTTTCCGTCATGTAATTTATAATAATTAAAATACGTGTATGTATACACACAGAAAAATACTGCATTTAAATGTTAATTTGTTTCAAATATTTCAAAAGTTCATATATTCACAAATATATCATTACAAACATTAAATATACTCAAAATATATTTTGAATACTAATAATAAAATTTAATACTTCAATCAAGATCATTAAATTAAAACAAATTCGATTTTTTTATTATATAAAATCGCTTCTTTGATAAAATTTTAGAATTTTATTTCTCACAAAAAAGATAAATTTTTATTTTGAGTACATGATAATAAGTTTTCTTTATTAAAATGTATAAATAAGTATATTTTAAGATTATTATCAAGAAATATTCTTTGTTAAAGATGACTGATTACTTAAAAGAAAAAGTAAATTAAATAATAATTTTTTTAATAATAGAATGACATTTTTCTGTGTATAAGTTTTGTTTTAATGTCAAAACTTTAACTCATGTTTCTTCTCCTCCTTTATTTTTTCGAAATTATAACAGTTTAAAATCTCAATTTAATTCTTCTTTTTACGGGACCATTGCTTGATTCAATCGGATTATTTCAGTCTAGGTCAAGTTCGAGCTCATGTATTATTTTTCGAAGAACTCTTCGTTTCAAGTCGTCGGGATCGATGGATGATAACATGAGTCATGTGCGATGAAATAAAATGAAAATTGCACGCGAAAGTACTACCAGCTTATTTGTCGTATATGCGGAGTGGACGTTTTGGAATCGATGTAGTGCGAACACAGTCCATCGAAACTTAAATGTAGCGTTTCTAATTTTCCGTCATTTCTCTTCCACGAAATAGAATCTCTCCTCAAACATTCCAGCGCGACTTGCACCTCGCTAAATTGCTCACAAAGCCATTGACTAGCAAACATGTTTTTACATAAAACTGCTGACTGTGTGGGAAAACTGATAGCGATTTACAACTTGAAGAGAGAACAATTCAATTTTTTGTACGTTATGAATAACGTCGATTAACGCTAATTAGTCAAATATGTGTTATTTATTTTGTAGCCATTTATTTTGTATTATATGCAATTAATTATCGCGTTTTGCGCATTCGATGTGATAATCGCAGAATATCATTTACAATCTAAATGTGTACAGTTATTGATTTTCCAACGAATGGTTAAATCCCATGATAAAATAAAGATAGGATATGCCAATAGTATAATATTATACTGTTGTACAGTATAATATTATACTGTTGTCGCAACATAATCATGTTACTTCAATATCGAGCTGTTGACTCATAGGCATAATAATTAGTTTTTAAAAGCGTTAATAAAACGCGACGAATTTGTTTAAATACTTGCTAATAAAAGAATAATTTCCTGTCTACAATTATAGTATTCTTGATAAACAGTAGATAATAATATACAGTAGATAATAATAGGTGAGTCATAAATGCTTTCATGAAGGTATTCCTAGATAGATAAAAAGAACAAATATTTTTATAAATTAAGATTAGGTTGCAAACACTTCTTGTTATCGAAATAATGGACAAATACAGTAGTATCAAATAATGATTTTATTTAAATTTAAAAGTTTTAGATATTTTTTTGTTTACAAAAGATTCAAAATGTCCATCATTTTTCACACATGCCTAAGCAAGAGAATCCTGCTTTAATAATTACATTTGTTCTTCCTTTTTATCCAGGAATATGAAATTAAGGCATACTTATGACACATCTGTATAATACATTAACAAATCAAAAGGTGAAGAGGTATTTCGGATTTGATGAGGAAAAAAAAACATTTAATGAGGTAAATGGAAATTATATGCAAATAGAAATGAAAATAGCAGGATATACCGTTTAATTGCGCAGCGTTAACGAATTAGTAAATTGTAAAAAGGCAAGAATAATAATAACAATATAAATCACAATATAAGATCACTTACCAAGTGTACAGTAAGTAGGTAACAACACAACTGAAAGGAGTTACGAGAAAGCACCGTTTATACCGGCTCGTCGACCAATGGAGGAAGATCAAAGTCGATGCCGCCCAATGGATAGTCGTTCATGGCGTCATTTCCCACCAAGGAACGCTGAGCTTGTGAAAATCGATAATTTCTAGAAGCGATGGCGGTCGCGATCAGCCGGGTGGCTTCTTCGCGAGGGCGAGCTCGCAACCCCTTTACGGGAACGTTGAGAGAATCAAGTTAGAAGAACGTTTGATAGGAAATTGGACTTTCTGTCAAGGAACAAGAAAAAAAGATAAGAGAGAACACGAAATACATTAATTAAAAAAGATAAAAGAAAAAGGGAAAGAAAAAAGTTTTCACTTATCCTGAACGTTAAATTATGCTCATAAAGCTCGATTAAACTAAACGAATCCATTTCGCGTATTTTATTTCCAACTCAACAAGTTAAATATTGTATATTTAACATAATGACATTTCGTGACGTTAGCTTGCATTTCAAAGGCTTTTTAAACAATACACTTGTAGTGTATACTCATAACGTTGCGCAAACATTGCCAATTCTTATGTAATAGCATCATATTGATTTTGACAGATAATATATTTGACAGAATACAAAAATACAAAACATAAATAATTTACTATAATTATACTTTTGTGCTTATTAACGGTTTTTAATGTTTTTTAAATATTCGTTCGTCTTCTACGAGGCGTAAATTCTTACTTTATCTGTGTAAAATGTAAAAAATATATCTATAAAATAAATTCAGTATTACAGATATATTTGAAATACATATATCCCACTTATTTATCATCAGATATAAATAATTAGTTAATTAAGTCTTTTAAAAGCATTTGTGTGTTGGACAGACATATTAAATGTCTTTGTGACAGCAACAAGTTGCATATTTTTATCCAATCCGATTGATTGGAACAGTTAGAACGGCAATACGTAACATCGCTGTTCTCGTACTTTGATCTTTCAATATCTCTTAATGATTTATTAATATTATACCATCACATTTCAAAAACTTTTATACGAGCTTATATCGTTCAAATATAAAAATATTAAAGTGACCTTTAATTTTGTTACAGTGTAACATATAATAACTTTTTACTAATTTTTTAAACTTACACTTAAATTCCGAATATTCTTTCTTACATCTAATAACTTGAAACAATTAACACACAATTACAAATATAATTTTTACTTTTTGAGTCTCAAAAAAAGTAAATTAAAAGGATAAGACATTAAAAATTTATTAAGCATTTATTGCTTTTTGATAAAATTATTTTATAATTATTTTATAATTTTAATAAAAAAATTCTATATAATTTATAATGGATGGAATTACACAAATGTCTTTATATAGTATTTAAAGAAGATTGTCGTAGAAATTAACGTCCTTCAAGAATAAGAGTAGAGACTTTATATAATCTCTCTTTGTTCAGTTGTTTATAAACAAGAGAATTTAATTATCGGATTTACTGCAATAGCAATATTCATATTTGGTTCTTTAAGCACAGAATTAAGATGTCAATTACAAAGCTATATTAGCATCTATTAAGATATAAATTAAGACATCAAAATCTTGAAATA